AACCCAAATATGTTATTAAAAATGTTCCATGTCTTAACAGTGATTTTTAAAACCCTTTTTAAGAAGTACAAGTAGCCCAAAAACCATGGTTTTCTAGAAGTCCTACTTTCGCATTTCGAAGAAAACTTTCTAGAGAAGAAAAGAAAGAGCACGTTGAGAAACTCTTATAAACCAAAGGACAGCTCCATAGGATTCTGGGGTTCGCAGGTAGCCTAGGCCAACTTTCTGGTGTAACACGCCTATTTTATTAATAGTTGGCGATGGACGAGGCGATGACCGGGCAGAAAGCTTACGGGGCGATCCCTGCGAAGTAGATTTCTCGAAACTTGACGAGGTACGGGGCGATGCGAGGCAGGAAGTCTGCGAGGCGATCCTCGCGAGGGAGCTAAAGATGGTCCATCGTCTACCTCTGTTACCTACAAGAGGTAGCCGGCTGCTCCTGTTACACCTGATCAAGAGAAATACGGTATATACATGTAAATAACACGTTTAGGATATGTTGCTAATGTTGAAGGTGCTATTGTTGGTGTTATTATTGATGTTACTGTTGGTGATATTGTTGGTGTTATTGTAAGATTAGTCGAAGTGAACTCATTTAGCCGATATTGTAGAAGAACCTCATCAACATCATTTGAAACATGCGCGGGCGTTTGCGATGATATGAGTATATTAGAATTTCTCATTCGTATTATTAACAATGATTCGTCATCTTCGATTACATAACCTCGGCGACCCCACAGCAATATCCATCACCCACCATTCTTCATCACGCTTGCCACTATGTTCATTAGATAATATGTGTACCATTTCCATGTTTTCTGATAAAACATTAACTTTTTCTCGTGTTGGTTGATTTTCCGACTGAAATAATGTTAATGAAACATTCTCAAATAGCAACGATCCAATAGTATAAAGATAGTTTTTCGTTGTTCGACAGGTGATTTTTAGTTTATTTAATGGCGTTTTGACTGTCCGCGGAAAATTTAAAATATATGTTTTGTACGTGTACCGATTGTCGAGTGTTTCATTAGAATTTGTCGCAAGATTCGCTGATCCGATTGGTAAATAGTCATTTTCTATATCATTTGCTCCATATATAGCTGCGATCAGTGCACCGGCACCTTTGCCACCATTTTTTCCTCGAGGGGTAACAGTAAGTTTTAGATGGGTGCACATCTTCAATGTTACTCTTATATCCGAATCTAACTTCAACTGTCTTTCGAATAATAGTAGACAATCCGGCACTATTCATTAATGATAATTTTATTAGATATTTGCCTGATTGTCGATATGTACGTTGAAATGTACTATATTGACTTTGTATGATTGATATTGGATCTAAAATAGAATCACCCCAATTGGTACGTATGTTTACCCATTTGATTTCATCTAATATACTGAGTTGAACTTGTATGTAACCTTCGCGATCAAGAATCATAATTTTTCCTTGTGTCGGCGTTGCGAGTTCACATCCATCGATAATCGAATTTTTAGCATCGACAAGGTCCATCCATTTGCATCTTCGTTAGCAACCGGCACGGCAAATAGTAGCCAATCATTGGGTAATGATGTCTTGAACAGATGAAAAGCAAATGGACTAAAGTACGAACGAATACAGCGTTTAGCTTCCTGAGCACCACCAGGAAGTTTTGATATGTAAGTTTGTCGAGCGACATCGTTCCAAATGAATGAATTTATATAGTCAAATCGTTTCCAAAAATGAGGTAGAGCATTAATCATGCGTACCGTAGCATACAATTGTGATTGTCAAAAATACTGAAAAGCTCGTGTAATTGTATCACTGAATTCTTCTTTTCTTCCATTCCAAAATTCTTTGCGACCAGTTGACGAACTGCTCAAGTTCACATTCAAAAATATTTCGCTCCAGCCGTCTTGACAGCCACGACTATAAAGAATAAATAACAACCATCTTCAACTCATTTATTCTTGTTTCAAGAAACTGTTTTTATCAGCAGACTCCTCATATTTTGAATACTTCAATTAGCATTAAAACAGAAGCAAACAGGTAAATAAGAGTGTTATTTAAATAATTAAAATCGTTCTCGATTTCGAGCGTATTACGTGCAAGTAGAGCGATTGCAATCGGACCCCGTCTCAGCAAAAGCACCTAAAGCATCAAGTAACCCAAAATCGCTGAAATTATCCAGTATTAATACTTGCAGAGAACATTCACTGATAATTGCGATTAAGAGTAAAGAACGATACATACTGAATGGCAACGTTCTTCGCGGAATGATACAGAGAACATTGGCGTATGTATGTAAGATATATATATGTATATCTCGTACCCTTTTCAACTATGAAGAAAATTAATCCCACATAGTTTATCAAACGAAATCCTATTACACATATTTGTACTGGAGAGAACTTGGTCCAAATAGAGCTCGACAAGCTCCACAAAACACCGTATTTCCTTTCCTGAAACACGCAATGGCTTTTCAGACAAAATACCACAGAGAAAGAGGATCTTTGGAAAACTTTCTAATGTTTTTGTTGAGATGAAGTTCATCAGAGAACAGTTTTGTATGTGTCTCGATGGTTTGCATCGAATAATGTGCAATTTAGCTTTGGACCAAGTCCTGAAATGAATCTGTGAAATGTTTACTGGAAAACCGTAAGTTTTCACGTTAAAACAACAAGTTTTTTAAGTCCACAGATTCATTTCACGACTTGGTCCAAAGCTAAATTGCACATTATTCGATGCAAACCATCGAGACACATACAAAACTGTTCTCTGATGAACTTCATCTCAACAAAAACATTAGAAAGTTTTCCAAAGATCCTCTTTCTCTGTGTGTATTTTGTCTGAAAAGCCATTGCGTGTTTCAGGAAAGGAAATACGGTGTTTTGTAGAGCTTGTCGAGCTCTATTTGGACCAAGTCCTCTCCAGTTTGGACCAAGTTTAGAAATGAATCTGGGCCGGAAATATTCGAATCTGGTGCTAACTTTACTTACGTCGTATATTTAAATTCTAACTTTCTAACTGGAATTTATCAGTACATCAACACTTACTTTTGTCTAAGTAAAATATTCAACACTTCATATCATTTTTAATTTTTTTTCTAGTAAATAGATTCAAAGGAAATGGAATATAATTTCATCTTCTGCTGCCCATGACCAATATTAGAAAATGTTTTTTTGGATATTGCGATCGTAACATGGCGGATGGTGTTACATGAAATTTTAATAAACAGACCGCAAATCTGTAATCGTCAGTGAAATGTGTACGTTGGTTTCCTTCGTGCACTCTTCATTTGAAATACTGCTCACATGCCAGACGATGTTCGAAAATAGTCTTGAAAGCTCCCATAAAAATAAATAAAAGATAAGTTTCTTTTTATATATCTCTTCATTTATCGACTTTTAAAAAAAAAAATCTATTAACATAATTTTAGTCATATCCAGTCCGCTCCGTTCAGCTTGAAACTCGTACTCGATCTTTGCCGACTCACGTGTTGAATACGAGTCGAATGCTTGTAATTTAATATACCATGTTATTGCCTTGTCTAAATATTTAAAAAGCTTACACAGTTTGTCAAGCAAGTTTATA